ATGAATGACAATATGCTGAACATTGAAATCTGAGTTGTGATGTTCTTCCAAGAATAGGAAAAGGAATGGTGCTTACAGTGTTTCCACAACCTTCTGAGTATTTGTTAGATGCTGCGTCCCTTGAACGATACTTGCCAATGCAAAATCTGAAATTTTGGGGTTCATGTTCTCATCCAAGAGAATGTTACTGAACTTCAAATCTCTATGTATTACCTTCAAATACGAATCATGGTGGAGATAAAGAAGCCCTCTAGAAACACCCTGAATAATATTGAAGCGTCTGCCCCAATCAAGCTCAGGTCTCCTCACTGGATCTTATAAATGCAAACATTCGAAATATAACCAATAGTTTCATTCATATATCCCATGCATTGTACAATGAAAACGTTGACCGTCACTAGATTTTTACCTTCTAATTGCTATGGAAGATATTGAAACATTTGTATGAACAATAGTGAATATCAGATTCAAAATTGATTTCAGGTCTAGTTCAACATTGTCTCTTCTACTTTATAGAGAACTGAAATGTACTCATGTATTATACAATTCAGTTTACAGTTCTGAGCATTAAATCTGCAGGATGTCTTGCTTGACTGTTTGTGTATTGAAAATAATTCAGTGATTCTGTGTATCAATCGAAAATAATTTTGATTCCTTGTGCCCTGAACATTTAGTTCAAGTGAATTCATTTGTGGCTTTAAGTTAATTAGGCAAATTACAAAGATTAAGTCCAGTGAAACTAACCAAATAGATGAGTGTCCAAGCTTCTGTTTGGCATGAACTCATAAATGAGTAACTTCTCATCTTCTCTGACGCAGCAGCCCATGATCCTAGCAGGATTTTTATGTTGGAGCTTGGAGATCAACAGTCTTCAACTCTTCTATGCCTTGCCCTGAGATACTAGATAGTCTTTTTACTACTATTTCCTTCCCTTCTTGTAGACCCTACGTACAAATCAATCATTGCATTCATGTCCTTATCTTGTAGTTGTATAGAATTGTAGCTGTTGTGATACAATATTTTCCTTTAGAAAGAGAAAAGGCAAAATAAAAACTCACCATGTAAACTGGACCAAATCCGCCCCCTTCCCTGAGTTTGTTTGTGATACTGAAATTGTTCATAGCGATTAATATGATGTCAAAACTATAGATGAATAGCTCCGATGGATCTTGGTTTCT